AATGTACACTTCAGTCAAATGATTAACTGTCTTACTTGCAAAAGACTAATAGGCTTACTTGGTGCAATCCCTGCCATTTACAGCTCAAAGTAAAATGACACTCCAGGTTTAACAACCCACAGCCCACCTGAAATGTGTACCAAGTATGGGCTCCTTCTTATTAAAGCTCAAAAAAGAGTAGCTGATTCAAATTGTGAAAAATGCCATTTTAAAACTGAGAATTGCATACTATAGCACTTACATGAATAAAAATGTATTTCCTACTGTTAATTGAAAAGATTGGTATTTCAAATTTCCAAGGGCTTCAAGTTTAAAAACTGGCATTAATAAGGCTTAAACTTCTGTCCTAGTTTTCCTTACATTTCCCTGTTTTAAAGTTTCTGGGAGCATGTGTCTTCAATTAGATCTGGCCTACTTAAGAATTACATAAAATACAATTCAAGCAAAATAGCACAAGACCTATTTAGGCATCACTAACTTGATTACAAAGCACAAAGAGTGGAAGCATACCCATGTGCCCCCAATCATCACATCCCCATCAGCCTTGTCCACTCTCTCCATGCTTTTGGGGAAACATCAGGAGAATGGAGCCCACTTTATACACATTGGCTTCTCCCATGTTGTGGAACACTTTGCACAATCAGGGTTTATACCTGGGGGTACGTACACTTGTGCAATGGCTCTGGAATGTAGTCTGAGCAGGCCAGGACACTGACCCACATTCCCCTTTTATGCAATTGTTCTATCAGAGGGTGTGTTTTAACTTATGAATTCACTCCAGGCAACAAATATGACCATAAGTAGTACTGGTCACATCAGCAGAAGAGAACATATATCTCTAATGGTGATGTGAGCAGGGAAACTCCTGAAGGGCATGTATGGAGCAGCAGCAGCAGCTGAAGGCAACACTGGTGAAAATCTTTCTCAGACGCTGGCAGTGATGCTCAAAATAACTCTGGTTAGCGCTGTGCAGAAGAAGGCAATGGTAAACCACTTCTGAATTTTCTTACCTTGAACACCTTATGATGAAACATTCAAAGTAAAACAAAAGATAGTACCAGAAGATGAGACACTCAGATTGGAAGGCAATCAGCCATTGGGAAGACCAAAGGACAAGTAGAAGTAGGGTTGTAACTAATAATGCCATTAGACGAAAGCTGAAAGGAAGTCTAGTGCTGACATCCACAGAGGTAAAAGACAAGTCAGATGCTGTACAACACTGTTGGAACATGGCATGTGGGAAATATGAATCAAGGCAAACTGGAAACACTAAAGCAACAGCTAAGCACTGAAGAACCTGGTTTCACCTAAATGAAATGGCCTGAATAGCACATTTTCAGACAGCTTTACTCTGGAAATGGCAAACTCAGAAGAAATGAAGTAGCTCTAATACTCAGGCAAGGATGTAGCACAGGCAGTAAGGGACTATCCTGCAAAGTCCAACCAAATCGTATTGGAATTCTTAGAAAACCTATCAAGATAACTATCATTCATGTTTACACTCCAACAGCAGATGTTGAAAAAGATTTAAAAAAAAAAAAAAACCTCAGTGTAAATGTCTAACAGGAAATTGATAACACACCAAAACAAGACATGCTACTAACCCTAGGTGAGTGGAAAGCAGAAGTAGGAAACAAAGCAGAACCCAGTCTTGGGAGAATTTGGCCTATGAGTCAGACATGAAGCTGAAGATTGACTCTCAGAATTTTGTGAAGTCAACCATCTGTTTCTTGCAAACAGATATTTGAAGACACCAAGCATATGACTACATAGGGACAGCATCAGATGTAATACGGAAATTGAACAGACTACATGACTGCAAGTAGGAGATGGAGAATCTGTCTTTACACTGCAAAAGCAGGGAGCAGGAGCAAGTTACGGTAGTGACCATTATCAAAAAATGAGAGTGCAGCTAAAAAAGATCACTAAAAAAGCATAGTGTCAAAATGTACCTTAAATAACATTCCCAAGCAATATAAAATCAGATTATCTGAAGAAATCAGAAGAACAGATTGTCATCATCATCATTTCTATACCACCCCATAGCTAAAGTTCTCTGGGTGGTTTACAACACTATATAAAACAAAACAATAAAATACAACAGAAATATCATAAAAAGAGTAATGTTAAAATTAATTGAAAATAACCTAAATAAACAGGAAAAATACAGTAAAAAAAACCAGTAACACCCCCCCCACCCCCGGCAATACTGAACCTAATTGACCATGAATTGGAAGAACTGTGGACTAAAAGCAGAGACATTGCTAAAGGAAAATGCAAAAAGAATGAAAAAGCTCCTGTTGCAAAAAGAATGAAAAAGCCTAGATGGATGACAGAAGAAACAGACACAATGGCTAAGGACAGATGAGAAGCAAAAACAAAAGGTGACAGAAATAGAATCAGAATCCATAATGCATTTTTTCAGTGACTATCACATAGAGTCAAAAAGAACCATTACAATGACCAGTGTAAAGAAATAGAAGAGAACAAGAAAAGTGGAAAAACAGGAGACCTCTTCCAGAAGATCCACAAAATCAAAGGGAAATTCAAACCTAAATTAGGAACGCTGAAAACTAGCAGAGGTACACGCTATCTGATCACAAGAACATAAAGAGAAAATGGAAACAATAAACAGAAAAATTGAAAGAATGACAGACTCCTTCAAAGAGAAATCCTATGAGGAACAGTCTGCAATATTAGAAAGCAAAATAAAAGCTGCTCTGAAGGCACTTAGAAGGAACAAAACACCCAGGTAGATAGGATACCAATAGAACAAACTACAGAGAATAAATCAGTTCAAATCCTAACAAGAATATGCCAACACCTACGGAAACAAAACAACGGCCCATTAACTGGAAATGTTCAATATACATTCCAATTCTCATGCTAAGGAGTGCATGAACTACAAGACCACTGCAATGATTTCCCAATACAAATTAAGTGATGTTCAAGGTATTGCAACAAAGAATGTTACCCTGTGTGCAATGAGAAGTGCACGATTTTCAAGCCGGATTCCAAAAAGGCACATCCCAAACATATGTCAACAACTGGAATGGACTAAAGAATATCAGAAGATCAGTCGATTATTTACAGTAAAACCTCTGACTGTGTAGCACACAAGAAGCTATGCATGGTCTTGAAAGACATAGGTATTCCTCAGCACTTCATTGTCCTCATGATGATTGTTCACCTGTATTGTGGACAAGAAGTTACTGTTAGAACAGAATATGGAGAAATAGAAAGGGTTCCTATAGGCAAAAACATCAGATAAGGGTGGATCTTATCTCCCTGTCTGTTCAATCTGCACACAAAACATATCATAAGGAAAGCTGGAATATGATCAGGAGGAGGAGTGAAAATTGGTGGAAAACACATCAATAATTTAAGACATGAGATGATACTATCCTGCTGGCAGAAAGCAGCAATGAATTATAAGGTTTCCTGAAGAGCATGAGAGAAGAAAGTAAAAAAGCAAGACTGCAGCTGAGCATGAAGAACAGAAAAATCAAGGAAGACGTTGAAATTGTGAATGTTTTGGCATACCTTAGCCCAGTCATCAATGCAAATAGAGCCCTCAGTTAAGAAATTCAAAAAAGACTGAGACTTGGAAGAACAAGAAGGAAAGGATTTAAAAAGTTAATCAAGTGTGGGATGTTTCACTGCAGACCAAGGCCAAGATCATCCATACTATCATATTCCCAGTCACTATGCATGGGTATGAAAGCTGAAAAGTAAGAAAGGCAACATTATCTAAGGGTGGGCGTACACTCAAAACATGGTATTGGAGGAGAGCTTTGTGAATACTCTGGACTGACAGGAAGATGAGCAAGTGGGTCCCAGAGCAAATCAAGCCAGAACTTTCCCTATAAACAGAAATGACAAAACTAAAGCTGTTATACTTTAGGAACATCATAAGAAGGCAAGAATCACTGGAGAAGGCCATCATGCTAGGGAAAGTAAAAGGCAGGAAAAGAAAATAAAGCCCAAATACGAGATGAAATGATTCCACGAAGGAAACTGCAGCCATGAGTTCACAAGATCTGGGCTGCGCATTTTGCAGGGCATCCATTCATAGGATCTCCATAGGTCAGAGATGCCAGCCTGTAACAACAACAAACCTGACCACATGCATTTCGACTGCAGTTAAATTGCAATCTAAATGACACAAGGAATTCAAAAGCTGCCTTAGTACTCTGATAAAAACACTCTTGAGAAAAGCCAAAGAGTAAAGGAAATAACAATACAATCTTCTAAAAATATTATCACTGGAAATAATGTTCCTTGAGGAATGTTTCCACAAGATATAAAACATTTATGGGATAATTTTTCTAGCTTCTTCCTAACACCATTAAAATTCAACACTAAAAAGAATCTCAGTGCAGTCCATGACTTTTAACAGAAAACCACCCACAAATTGTAAATAATTTCAGAATAAAGATTGTTGAACAGCTATTTTTAGTAGCTATGCCAATCTCAATGCTTTCCTTTCCCACATCACTTTTCATTGGAAGAATCATCAAAAGATTCTTTCATGAAATATTGAAAAAAATATAAGTTGGAATAGAATATATTGGCAAATAGAATATATTGGCAAATAGAATATATTGGCAAAGAGCAATATTTGAATTATTTTCATTCAATATTGGATATTTTTAATATCAGTGCTTATGTTCACTTTTCCTAAAATTCTGGTTAACGTATATTCAAAGACATTTATTGCTGCCTGTTCATTTTGTTTATAGATGTCTAAGTTTGTTTTATTTGTTTTTATGCTCTGTATTAATTAACATTTTGTTAATCTGGATTTTATTATTAGCCACATTGAACTCCATTTTATTTTTTTAGCAGGAAGTCAGCATAGAAATTAAATAAATATTGTAACATGAGCAGGGGACTAGACCTAATGGCCTTACAGACCAATTTCAACTTTACTATTCTGTGATTCTAAATAAATCAGTAAGATACTCCCCCACAAAATTTTGCAATAAATTGTCATATACCATGATAAATGGTGCTGCTGTTGCTGTTGAGGTAAGATTCAACCAAAGGTGCTTGCTCTTCGGATTGTTTCATTCTGCGCGCCCTTGTGCGGCCATCCACATTGGACTGAACCATCAGTGGTTCCTGACGTTTCTTCTTCTGCTTCTGCTCTAGCAATGCTCTCTATGAAGAATGCACAGACACACAGACACTCACACACAAAAACCTCCATGTTATATTAAATACTATAGAAGCATAGAACTGTACGGGCATAAGGGCTTTCTAGATACCTCAGCAAGGTGAACTGAACCCATGACTTTAATTTGGCACCTACATTCATCACAGCTATGTAAAGGCATGAATAAGATTGCACTTGAAAAGCTTAAAGAGTAAGTCTTTCCCAACAGGCTTAAAGATGTGTTAAAACAACTCTGGCATTAAGATCCAGCAACATGTTCATCAGATCAGTTCCCCTTTGAGATGTGCACAGCAAATGCATAGTGGATTGTGGCTGTCTCATTATGACAACCACAGAAAATGTAGGCATGATTACCCAGAATCACTCAGAACAAAGCATGTAAGTCACTTGTGCTTCTTACAACACAAACGTAACATAGAGAACTCAGTTCTGGCCCAGGTGTAGAACATATGAAAATATTATTTAAGCATAAAATAAGAGAAGGGAAAATCTGATTTTTAAGTTCATATTCCAAATGGTATTGGGAAGAAAGCCGGATTAGAAAACTAGAATCCGTGCTAAACAGTAAACACACATTTATTTCAGTCCTCAGTTGTTAAAGATTTTCACAGCAAAGGGTGTGGGGAAGAATCTATTTTTCACCTCTATAGAGCTCTCCTTCTAGATGTTTCCATGTTTATATTATATTAGTGAAAGCACACAACACATATTTATAAGGTATATCTCAGCTTGAACCTCTCTGAATGTTCACAGCAAACCAAACATCTAGGTTAAAATAGGCAAGTGCCAAATTTGTCCTCTAATACACTTGAATTTCTTTAGGGTACACAAAAGTCCATAAAAGGAAAGGAGAAAATTGTACATTTATATTTTAGACAAAAACTGTGCTTTCATTTTGCATCAACTGCTCTGAAAATGTTTTATTTGCTTGCAACCAAAGTATCACATAAGATATTAATCCAGATTAACTGGTTCAACTGCACTAGTAGAATTGGCCGTCCCTGCCCATTCTTCACTTGGCAGTCCCTCCAATAGTGTGACAATGCTACAAAGAGAGACAGGAGACCCTGGTCATAACAGGGGATCCCCAAAAACAGGACAAAAGGCTGCTGGTTCTCACAGAAGACAGACCTTGTGTTCAACCCACACCTTCCTGTTATCTCCTAATAGGCTCCATTATTGTGGAAAACAAGATGTTCTCCCTGGGAAAGCATTTTAAAACACCTATGTGTGGTGATAAACAACTGGTAGGATGGAGTACAGTGACATGAGGATGTCTGAATCGAAAAAAAACATTCCCACAAACGTTTGCAGGCTTCCATTTGTAATTGGCAAGCACACATTCCTGGAAGGCAGAAGACAGTATCCAATAGAAATCACCTGTAAACAGCCAGCTCCATTAATTCTCTTCTGCAAGTAAACATAGACTTATTGCTTCTGGGGGCAATAACCTGTAATGAGCAGAAGCACTCATTCCTCAAATGAGGCAGGCCAAGAAAGCATGTATAAGGGAGCCCTGCTGAGCATGTCTACTAGTTTCAGGGCTTGCCCCAAGAACACCTTAATCTCCATTGTGCAAGAATTGCTTGCCATTTACAGAAGGGAATGGGTAGAGCTGCTTGATCACAGAATTCAAGTATCAGTGGGCCCTGCTCATGGAGTGGCAGCACTGGATACTAACTAGAAAAACTTTTAATTATACACTGATTTTTGCTATGAAAAAATACAATAGTTATTAAGAATGTGTATCAGGGTACAGGTTTTCTTCAGGTTTTCCTATCCTGAAAAAATCCAGTAAAACAAGCTCAGTTTATCAAAATAAAATAGCCAATCCATCAATCAATATCAGAAAAGTTTCATGAACTCACCTGTCTGTCAAGTTTTTGTTGCCGCAGATTGCTGCTCTCATCATCTAAAACACTGACAGAATAAAAAAAATAAAACAAGAAGAATCTATCAGTCTGATTGTCAAGCAAAACCTGGCAGGGACTTTGTACAGTCACCCAGGAATAGAACTTTATTAGCCATCTATTGCCACACCCCTGAGATTCTCAGAAGCAGCAAGATCTCAAAAGCCTGGTACAGAATGGTGAGAGGACCTTGCTACCCAATTTCTCTGTGTGTGTCAGGAGACTTTGGATGCAACAGGGATCAGCTCTCCTGACAAAATGGCTCTGCCCACCTACATGAGAGATCCTATGCACACATCTTCACTTTCACGTTTAGCTCTACGCAAGCACTCCACTTATTGAGGTTGCTAGCATTCTCCACTGCTGTCCGATGCAAAGTTTTGCGGATGACTGCTTTCACCTGATTCATAGAACTGCTTAGCTGACATGTGGCATCACAAACTGGGAGTCCAAAGGGTTAGAATGTCCAATAATACATTCAAAAACTTTAAAACCCCCTGCTGTAAGACTTCAATATGTTTACATAACTAGCAGATTTATCTACTTCTTGCAGCATCTTATACAGTACAGTACATAACCCTATTTAGTGTTGGTACACTACATTTATCAAAGAACAAATCCCCATTGCTAAGTGTCTGACTGGCAGTTCCCAAAAAATATCGCAAAAGCTTGCAGGGTTGACCATATTTATACCTTATAAACAACAATGACAATAATGAGGTTAGAATTTGGCCTTAAGCATATTTCTATTACTTTAGTAGGTCACTCTCTGCAATGAAGCTGTATCCCCATTATCATCATCAAAAGGACAGCCACATTACCTTGTGCTAGTGACTAAAGGCTGTTTCTTTCACTTTCTGACGTTTCTGAGGCCTTATGCTGCATCTTCAGAAAATCTCCAAAAAAAAACAGTTTTGGAAGGAGATATTTTATTGGCACTTGGGTGCTAGGTAGATACAGCTGGAAAACAGCTGGCACAAAAACTCTGCCAGCAAAGTGACAACCTACATACATTGACAGATGATCCAGGCTGCTAGGTCCCTCTATGAGCTGCATGAAACTGGAATGGCAGTGCTTGCAGCTGCTGCTTAAGAGTCTTTGTGTTTCCCTGAGCTGAAGGAGAAGAAATTCAGTAGGTTGGGTTCCTTCATCCAACCTACTTCTTCCCTCATGGGGTGTTGGGGGGGGGGGGGTGGAATCAGCAGCTGTGTCAAACAGAATAAGGCAAAGAAGACTGTTGGTGCCACTTTGTAAACCAAAGCTTTGCTGCTTCACTGGGAGCTACAGCTAACTGCACATTTGATCCTGTAACAGAAGTGTTGGAAATACTGAAATACTGTCATCCAAAAAAAAAAAGCTTGCAAGTTTTGTGCAAGATTTCCCAGAAGTCCATGAGAAAGGAGAGCTACTTTCTTGCCATGTACAGCGCTGAAACCCATGAAACCTGTGAACATTCAGGGACATTTTTCCTTAAAAATCCTTGACATAAAAGCCCCAAATTCACATTTCCATTTCACCCTGTGTCAATGTTTTTAGAAGATCATGTAAGCAAACCAACTTCTAGGCCTGACTTGTAATTAGGTAGTTATCTGTGGTAAGTAAGGATGTCTTCCAAAGAAGACATGCTCCACCCTCTTCAGCAGCTCAGGAGGCTACTGTGAGCCCCGGGGTTGCCAAATAATGGCTTACTGAATACAGTGCAGGCAGTGGTGTAGAGATGCAGTAATCTGTAGTCTGACCTCACAGATGTGCCTGCTGCTACCAACTCCTTGCCATGCCTGCTTTCCAAGCAGCTGTGGAGGCTTTGCAGTTTGTGAACTGACTGCTTAGTTGGAGGCGATGGATGCACACAGATGCTTAGAAGCATTATGCAGTAAGTTTCCCTGGACTGCTGCATGCTTCTCAGTCATATGAATTCATTGGCTGAAGAGGTAACAGTAATTTGATTTAGTTTACCTAGTAATGTTATGAATAGCTTGTAGTAGAGAAATGTATATATACAAATGCATAGATACAATAACAAAATATATGTAATACAGAATAAGGTTATTATTATTTTCATTTTGTGCTGCCCTACAGAGGATTCCTTTAAGTAATGTAATATAATCCATTTGGAATAAAACACCTCTCACAGAAACATGCAACATCCAGCAATTGATACAGGTCTTGAGCTCCACTGTAGTTTGTAGTTGTTTGACTGGGCCAGAAGCCCAGAATCAAGTGATCGCATAAATTGACTTGCTAGCTTACGTACGAACAGGAAGTCCAAGCTTACTGACACCATATACCATGGGTCCTCAAACTACGGCACAAAGGCCAGATCCGGCCTGCCATGCCCATTTATCCAGCCTGTCTCAGAGGTTTTGGACTTACCGTGCCCATTGGTGAGGCGGCAGCTTACTCGCTTGGATATGGTTTCGGACTCGCTGGGAGAGCTCCAAGCACACCTGCCACCACCGCGCACGCGCCCGTCGCCACCTCACCAGCCCACACCTGCGGGCACCCCCGCCTCACCAGCCCACACCCATCGTCTCCACCTTTCAACTGGCCCCCTGTTGAAAAAGTTTGAGGACCCATGCCATATACCATCCATTGAACATGCAGGTCTTTCCAGGAATGCCCATCAAGTACAAAATATAAAGGAAACAAAAATTTTATGCAGAAAGTACAATGCAGAGAATTGTGCCCACCTCATGTTGCTATCTCTCAGACATCTTTTCATTTCAGCGCAACTTCCAGGAATGTTTTGAAAGTTAACTCAGCTCACAGTGGGCTCTTGAGCACTCAAAACCAAAGTATGATCTGAACAGCTTATCCACAACCAACACTTCATCCAACAACATCAATCTCATTGAAGACTTTAAGGTCCAATCTAAGCCCATGAATCAGTGAGAGTCTATATTACAACCATAAATAGATACAGGATCTAGAACAAACCAAGGTGCATTTGTTCAGCTAAGCTATCCCACTTCATAAACACTTTTCCCTTTAGTGGGATGAATTAATACATGCAGGTTCTACTTTAGCAAAAATAACTTATCAGAAATCCCTTAGGAAATTTACTGCAGTAAATGACTGAACTTTGCAACAAATTTAACCCATTGCACCTTTTAAAAGCTGCATGCTTATGGAGGTTCAAAGGTCCTTCAGAAATATTTCACTATTGTCATGCTTCCAGCTGTATTTGAGCATATTGAAAATGTATCTTACATCTGAAAAATGCAAAGTATTCCTGAAGCTGGAAAAGGAAGGTTCTGATATTCCCCAGTTGATAGGAAAGTAGCTTTCCTGAAGCAGAGTGACCAGCACTGACTTTGAGCCAGGCGAATACAGTTGTTCGTCCCATAATTTCTATGTGTAAACACATAAGCTGCACCCACTTGCCAGAGAAAAAGAAATTCAAAGGAGAAAGGGGGCACTTCCTTAGCTAGCAATAACACCCCGCCCCATCCCATTAGTTTGCTCTGCTCTTTTCAGGTTGTGATCTTAAATTACATGGCTAAATGTTAAGTCTTGTGAATATTCTGTATCACCTCCCTAATGAAAGGATTCTCCTACTTTAGCTAAATTTGTCTTAGAACATCATGAGGATTCTATTTAAACAGGCATTATTCTGAAAAGCAATTCCCACATCCTCAACAGTAGCTCTGCTCAGCATATTTTCTAAAATAAAGCCTCTACAATGGTTCAAAATATGAACCAAAATGGTTTGAAATATGACACAAGTCTTTTTTTTTTAAAGAAAGGAAGAAAATGGACCAGGGCCAAACCCTTCTGTGCTAGAGCTCAACACTGTTCTGCCATTTCTGCAGCATAAGCGGAATTTGCCCTGCATACAGAAAAGAACACTCAAAATGAGAGGCCAAAAGGCAGGCAACCATTTTTGTACATAGAACAACTGCCTCAGAACTTTTGCAAGTATTGATAGGCATGTGCAACTCCATACAGAAAGGAAATCAGTATCTTCTTAAAACAACAGCAGGCATGCCAGCTCCTGCTAAGTAAAGAGCAGAGGGCAAAAATCACACTTGTAGTTGTATTTTGAGAATATGTTCAAAGCCGTAAGACCACCCCCACAGTGCAGTATATGAAATAATGAGGCATCGTATTGCAGAAAATCTGATGGACCTTCTCCTGTGCAGACTCCATCACCCACCCAGATCCCATGGCCCACCCAATCAACCATATAGACCACCTAGGCCAGCACAAGCTGTGCACAAGTGGATGCACAACGAAAGTGATAAAGCTGCAAGATGCCCTTGGAGCTGTACAAAAGCATAAATGGGACAGTTGATCTAATGCTCACTCATTTGTGATCTTGCAGGGTGAGGCAAAGGGGGTATTCTTCAGTGCCTGCAAAGGACTAGTAATGTTAGGCTTAACTGTGTGGCCAAACACACAACTCCCAAGCATTTAAATCCATCCATTCATCGTGCATTCCTCAACCACTCTATTTAGATTTTCAGAGATGTACTAGTAATAAGGTCTTCCAAATTTGAAGCAAATGCTTGGCATGTACTACAAGAAACTATTAGGGCAGAAGGAATAAGGAGTAACGAAAACATTCTCAGAAACTGCTTATCCAGCTGTCATCCCAAAGAATCTGCTTTGTCCATTTAAAAGTTCTAAAAGGACAACACTGGGCAGTAGATGATGGGGTGCTTTAGGGGTTTTTAAAATTTGGATCCTGGTAGTTTACTGTTGATTGATTGTAATGTATTTTCAATGCCAGAATATAACAAGGATTCACATAGTGCTTTATTACTGTAAACCATCTAGAGAGTTGTGGTTATTGGTGGTACAGAAATGTAATAAATGAATGAACAAATACACAAGAGAGGGTGCAGCCACTGGCCTTTTCCCTATACTGGCCCTTTCACTCTCCTTGCTCCCACATCTCCTGTGGGGCAACCCCACCCTTACTACAATAAGCCCCAAGGGCAGGAGGTGAGATGGACTTTGTCAAATGAAAAAGAGGACATGCTTTCTACACCATTCCTAGTTGTGAAA